CTCTAGCGTGCCCTAGCATGACGGCCAAGCTCACTTTGACCTTTCTCACGAACAGGGAGGCGTTGAAAATTATAACTTTGTATGTGGGGTCTGGTCCAGTGGCCATCAGGCAGAACGAGTCGCTGCTCCGGATCAGTTTCAGTTTTAGATCGACTCCGTTCAGCATGTGCTTTTCCTGGAAGAAAATGTCGCTGTGTAGCGGTCCGATCATGTCAACCACTCCGCTGTGTTTCGTGTACTCGGCCCGTTTTTTTTAGACCGAGGTTGGCACGCTCGTCATCCGCTTTCGGATCGGCGCTGTCCATATGGCCCGCGGTGTCCATGAAAAACAACGCCGCGCTGAGCTGGGACATTTTGGCGTACGTGCCGTAGCTGAGCAGCGTCTGCAAGATGGCTAGGTAGGGGTATGTAGGGGTGTGGAAGGAGAGATCAGACGCTCGTTCAGACTGACGTCGACTTGACTGAAAAGGGATTGTAGAAATAAATTGACCGGACCGACGTAATCGGCGACCGTCAGTGACGACCCGTCCGCCTTGGTGATTTTGGCCCTGACGTAGAGCTCAGTCTGGTTGAGATCCGAAACTCGTCCCCAAAGCCCGGCACGAAAAACTCGATCGGTCCGCCGTCGTTGATGGTTGAGATGGGATGGAACTCTTCCCACTGTCCCTTTTCGATGCTGGTCTGCGTGGGTGGAACGGAGAATAGGTCCAGTTCAGATTCGACGCACTCGCAGGACTTGTCGTGCAACAGCGACATGGTTTGAGTTGCTGGGGCGTACGAGGTAGTTAGTCAAAGATGTCCTTCGATCGCTTCCTTCTCCTGCCGGCCGAGGAAGTGGCGCGTCCGGCGCCGGTTTTCCTTTTTATAGGCCGTCTCGAGAGGTGGGAGTCCACGCCGCGTACGGACGTGTGGGCCAAGTTCCGCCCGGCGGTTTTGAGTCTGTCCCTGGCTGCTGATTTGAAACCCTTTCCCTCAAGGGCATCCTGAGCGATTCCCACACCGGTTCGTAT